CTCCCCTCCCCTCCCCTTCCCTCTCCTTTCCTTTCCTTTTTTTTGACTGGATCTTGCTCTGTCACCCAAGCTGGAGTACACTGGCATGATCACGGCTCACTGCAACCTCTGCCTCCCAGGCTCAAGCCATCCTCCCACCTCAACCTCCTGAGTAGCTGGGATTACAGGCGCAAGCCACCATGCCCACCTTATTTTGTATTTTTAGTAGAGATGGGGTTTCGCCATGTTTGCCAAGATGGTCTGGAACTACTGGCCTCAAACAATCCACCCCTCTCAGCCTCCCAAAGTGCTGGATTACAGGCATGAGCCACTGCGCCCAGCCCACAGCCAGTTCTTTCAAGTAGTAATTTGTAGCATTGGCCAATTTCCCTGATGTACATACACCCACCATGGCTGCTTTCAAACTATCAACATGATGGCACTGAACAAAGAGATGGGGAGAGATGTGCCCAGCTGGCTCTGATGCACTGTGTGAGCCAGCTCCAGCACACCACTGGCTCAGTGGGTAGATTCTTACTGAGCCCAGGGAAGCCATTCTCTAGTAAGAAGCTTCCCAATCCTGCTCTCCCAATTCCTTCCCAGAGCCACCTCTCACTAAACACAAATATTGCTGATATATAGCACCTCTAATAAGCTTTCCTTAATGCCCCCAGCCAGAATTTTGTCCTCCCCTGTACTCCCCTAACATGCTCTTGGTAGCTCTCCTATGGCACTTCCTTCTGTGTGTCATGTATTTGTGCATTTTTTTTTTTTTTTTTTTGAGATAGAGTCACACTCTGTCGCCCAGGCTGTAGTGCAGTGGCACAATCTCGGCTCACTCCAACCTCTACCTCCTGGGTTCAAGCGATTCTCCTGCCTCAGCCTCCAGAGTAGCTGGGATTACAGGTGTGTGCCATGACACATGGCTAATTTTTGTATTTTTAGTAGAGACAGAATTTTGCCATGTTGGCCAGGCTGGTCTCGAACTCCTGACCTCAGGTGATCCACCCACCTCAGCCTCCCAAAGTGCTGGGATTA